CAGCTACTCGGAAGGCTGAGGCGGAAGGATCACCGGAGCCCAGCAGTTCGAGGCTGCGGGCTCCAGTCTGGGCAACAGAGTGAGACTCCAACTCAAAAAATAATAATAATAATGGTCTCCAATAAATATTACTCTTTTTTTTTCCAAGTTGAAGTCACCCAGGCTGGATTGCAGTGGCACACTCACAGCCACCGCAGCCTCCACCTGCTGGGCTCAGGCGATCCTCCCGCCTCAACCTTCCAAGTAACTGAAATCACAGGTATGTGCTACCACACCTGGCTAATTTTTTGATTTATTGTAGAGATGAGGTCTCACCAAGTTGCCCAAGCTGCTCTCAAATTCCTGGACTCAGGCAATCCTCTTGCCTTCTCCTCCCGAAGTGCTGAGATTACAGGCGTGAACCACTGTTCCCCGCCAAATATTGTTCTTAAATTTCGAATAAATTTCATTTTCTTTCTTTTTTTTGAGTTGGGGTTTCAATCTGTAGCCCAGGCTGGAGTGCAGTGGCACACTCACAACTCACCACAGCCTCGACCTCCTGGGCTCTCTGGCAATCCTTCTACCACAGCCTCCTGTGTACCTAGGACTCCAGGCATGCACTACCATGACGGCTAATTTTTTTTTTGAGTTGAGGTCTCACTCTGTCACCCAGACTGGAGTGCAGTGGCACACTCCCAGCCACCACAGCCTCGACCTACTGGGCTCAAGCAATCCTTCCACCTCAGCCTTCCAAGTAGCCAGAACTACAGGGGTGCGCTACCACACCCAGCTAATTTTTGATTTATTGTAGAGACGAGGTCTCACCGAGTTGCCCGGGTGGGTCTTGAACCCACGGGCTCAGGCAATCCACTCGCCTCGGCCTCCCAAAGTGCCGAGATTACAGGTTGAGCCACTGAGCCCGGCTAATTTTTGATTTATTGGAGAGATTCAGTCTCACCAAGTTGCCCAAGCTGTTCTCAAACTCATGAGCTCAGGCAATTCTCTCACCTTGGCATCCCAAAGTAATGGGATTATAGTTGTAAGCCACTGTGTCCGGCCTAATTTTTTTTTTGGTTTTGTGTGTGTGTGTGTGTGTGTGTGTGTGGAGAGAAGGTCTCACTATGTTGCCCAGGCAGGTCTTGAACCCATGGGTTCAAGCAATCTTGCTGCCTGGGCCTTAAATTCCATTTTCATTTTAACAAACTATTGGAACCAGGCGCGGTGGCTCACGCCTGTTATCCCGGCATTTTGGGAGGCAGAGGCGAGAGGACTGCTTGAGTCCAGGGCTTCAAGACCAGCCTGGGCAACTTGGTGAGACCTTGTCCCTACAATAAATTAAAAAATCAGCCGGGCATGGTGGCGGACGCCTGTGGTTCCAGCTACTTGGAAGGCTGAGGCGGAGGATCCCCTGAACACACCCAGGAGGCCGAGAATGCGGTAGCCATGAGCGTACCGCTGCACCCCAGCCTGGGTGACAGAGTGAAACTCGTCGTACTCAAAAAATAAACAAGCAAAAAACGATTGGGAATCTTTTCTGTCGGTCAAAACGTGCAGATCTAATTCATCCTTCTGGGTTGGAGCTTAGAATTTCACGGAATAGTTGACCTGTTTGGGGGCAGGCACAGGCGGTGAGCTAACCGCCCCCACGTGGGCCTGGCCAGGGGACGAGATAGGAAGATTCCTGGGCCGCTAGCAGTTCTCCAATCGTCCCTTTCCCTAGTCTGTGGTCTACGGAGCCAGCAGCAGAGGTTAAGGGCA